CCACATAACAGTAGGTAAAAATGGAAAGGATGAAAGATGTAAGCATCACAAACATAATTAACATAACTGTTAAATCATTATTCTGCCATTCCTATGAGGTTAACAATACACGAAGTTTATGAAATAATTTATTTTTAATTCTTTTGAATTTTTAATTTGATTTAAATACTATCAGTCTTAATTTTTTTGTAAAAATTAATTGTCAAATTATTACGCATGAATAAAAGCTTTTCAGAAAAAATTCGTCGTTATTACCATAATAATAATATACCCTGAAAGGCATAAGAGTAGACTAGAGCCCATTATTTCCACTAACCATACATATCGCATAGTTGTCTCTACTTGTGTTAGAAAACTGGAAATGAACAATTTGTCTATTTAATAATTTTTTATTTATGAACGTCTATTTAATGATTGATTCAATTTTGTATTTAAAATATTATACTGTAATAAAATATATTTAATAAATAATATATTTAATATATTAAAATATTAATACTTAAATAAAATCATAGTTTAATGTTTGTTTAATAACTATAATAATTAGCATAATTACAATGTATTAGTTCAGTTTTTGTAATTTTAATTTAACTATCTTGATTTTTTTTTCTAATATAGACATAATAAGAAAGAAATACAACTATACAATAATGATATGCTAATTTGATTATCTACATCAACTACACAATTTGTAATTATTTATTTAACAAAATAAGGCGTTTATATAACACTTCCCCTTCTCACATATTTTTGTAGACTCACCTTTTCACTTTTATTTGATGCTGTACGATATTAGCCAGCAATATCGCGACAGCTCGATCACTAGAATTCGATATATTGTTGAGATTCTGCAGTTTGCTCATTATAATGCTTAATTGTCCACAAACGTGCATGATGAAAAATGCGGCCAAGCCGGCCGCACTGACTCTTGTCGAATAGATAATTACTCCTGCGAAGGCTTGCAGAGGATAGACGATCTCGTACGCTGGTGACACTCGTCCATCGAACTTAATGAAGTAACTCGGCAATGCCAGCACTCTCACCGTGATGTTCTCCGGCGTGAGTATACGACCCTTCAAAAGTGGCATGAGTATTCGATAAGTTAGTCCGCCGGTATACATGAAGACGGCAGAAAAAATAGCGAACTTTCGGCCTACTCTCGCTGTAGACAGCATCGCTTTCCGATCGCTTCCATTGACCGTATCGCTCCAATCCTGATGCGCCCGATTCAGGCAAGATTGAATCTCCTTTGCGTTGTTCAGGATCAGCAAATACTTTACCCAACCCATCGAAGCATTCACAATCGGCGCAAGCAATCTGACTCTACGTTTGAATTCGTGTTCCTTTAGAAATACTTGTAGAAGACTCGGCACAATGATGAACCCGAATAAAAAGTGACAAATGACGTTTTGGAAACGGGTCGCAATTCTTTCCATGTTGGAAGCGTAATTGGGACTCGGCCACGCACCGATTGATCGGAGAATAATGCGAGTCACTTGTATGGCGTAATTGAAATCGTCATCGTGTTTGCTCGTCGTTGATAAGCTTTTCATTATTAGCTTCACTCAATACTTTTCCTTTTTTTTCACGGATAATTGAATTCTCGACCGCAAATTTTGAGTTTATATTGTTACTTTCTAGACATTAAAAATTTCCGTTAATGTTGTAGCGTTTCGGGGTTTACAAGTAACAGATGGTTAGGCGAGACTAAACGTTATAACATAACTGGACAGATGTGTTGATAGGTAGTCTCCCTTTCTGTGGTAAGAGCAGAAAGTATAAAGCGCGCTTGCGTGCATTAAACGTCTGCGCATAATGATGGGGTTACACGAAAGGGTTGACGAAATTATCGAATAAACGCAATATTGATGGGTAAAGAGAAGGTTCGCCATGTGACGCATGACATTGTAAAATTTAAACTCACGAATGTGAAAGGGTAAGGTCAAATGTCGTTTTATGTGCTGCATATTACTGTGTACGTCAACAGAATGTCATGTAAGTACAAAAAAATATTGCAATACTATTCTATACATACATTATCCTCACAGTAAAGAGGCCGTTGATATGAAAGTACGTTTAATAAATTGTAAACGCGATCTAATAATAATATAAATACAAAAGTATATATATGTAAATGTATAAAAATTATACATTCCGCTTTCAACACAGAGGAATATAATGATAAAAGATTCAGAAAATTCTTGCTTGCGTTAATTTATGATACTAATGATGCTATTTACATTTAGCTGAAATCTGTAGATTTCAAACCTAAATTTTTTTAAGTATGAGACTTAATTCTTTTATCTAATGAACTACTGTTTTAAATACTGGTTGTGCGTAATATATTCAGATATGCCACGGACGTTCGCATAATCTAAAAAAATATGTAATTACATTTCCAATGGTTTATTGTTTACAGTAATTAGAAAACCATAGCATTTTAACAAAATATTTGACTTACAGCACCGAAACTATTTAGAGATAGATCCATAAATTTTCCCGCAGTGATTTTAATGGGAATGCTAGACATCGCGATTATTAAAATGAGACCGCGAGCAGTTTTGTGTGGAATTCGATACCAGTCGAGAGTACAAAAAGTGATGTACATCTTCGTGCTCTACAATACGATAACATAATAGATATCAGTGAGTCTTACCAATTTGATAAATTAACAATTATCGATCAATACCTGATCCGTGAGAAGCTCACCAATGAAACATAGTATAAAGATATTAAAAATAAATGTTAAAAGAAGTATACTATACGTTAGCATAGATACTGCATCATTATTTTCCCACTCCTGTAAAACGAACATAAAAATAGTTTCTATTAATTAACTTCTTTTAATATAAAAATATATTTAAATTATATTAATAATAATAAAAAATTATAATAAAATTATATTAATTAATATAAAAAATATATATATTTTAGTTATATTATATTAAACTTATAATTTTTTCGTGTACCATTATTATATAATATCCAAGAAGACATAAGATGAACGTGCACCCGACTACTTCCACCAAACATATATATTGCAAAATTTCTTCTACCTTGCTTAAAAACCTAAACGGCATTAATAATAATATCTTATTCTTAGTAATTTTTTTTATATTTATAAAATAGCAATTATGGAATTTTCTCGCACACAACATCATTGATGTATATAATAACGTTACCTCTTTATTCTGATATGCTGCCTCACGACAGCTGCCAATTTCCCGTTGGCATATTTATCAGAGAAGTATTTAGCCTGCGTGAGATCCTTCATTCTAGTGATGAGAATTTTTAACTGACCACAGGCATGCAACACCAGAAGAGCTGCCAAACTATAGGTTCCGCTGGTTGCCGAGTATTGCACAAACCCAGAGAGAAACTGGATTGAAAAGATAATCTCGTAAGCTGGCGTCTTCTGTGGATCGACGAATACATAATAACCATCGAATCCCATCGGTCTGATTGTCACGTTTTGCGGAGTGACGATGACTCCGCGAGATAATGGCACAATTGTGCGATACGAGAATCCGCTGCCGTATACGAAGGCTACGCAGAGGATCGCAAGGCTGCGTCCGATTTTCGAATTGCTTATCATGATTCTGCGGTCTCCTATCAGGCTCGCTTTACTCCAATCTTTCTCGATGTGCTCGATGCAATCTTTGATTCGATCACTTCGGTAAATCAACAATGTATGCTTTAGCACTGCCATCAAGCAGTTGCACATAGGACCAATCATCTTGATGCGCCGACGCGCATTTGATTCCTTGAGGAACATCTTAAGTACGCCCGGCACAAAAATGAAGTAGAGTAGGGCCTGAGACAGAATCCTGAGCATCTTTGTCTGGATAATTCTGAGAGTAGACGAATTACCAGGCAACGGCCATAAGCCGATCAGCTTTAGGACACCACGCGTAACATTCACACTGCGTCTGATATCATCACGATGAAGGATATTCACGTTCATAACTTGAGAATCTACTTGATCTTGACGTCGACGAAGAACTGATCGGACGTACCGTCATGCAGTGAAAAATGCAAATGGCGATGCGCTTGCGTCTTCGACGAGAACGGAAGAAGTGAGGGATTGACAGGTACAACGATTGTTTTACCCACAATCTTTTTTCCCTCTTGTAAATCACGGGAAAGTTGTAAAAGTTATTGTTGGGGACGTTCGAGGAAGCATTTACTGTGACGGGAAGTCTAGTGACTTTAGAAAAGGCACACGAGAAAATAGCGAGAAAAAAATAGCGAGCACACGAAGGAAAACTACAGATGTTCTATTGATCTTTTAACGGTACGTTCATCATTTCGTGTTCAATAAAATATTTTGTCGTGGAAGATAAGAAACAAAGGATGTAAGGGTTCGAACAACAATTATAAATGATTATAAGAGGTACAATGTAAAAAGTCATCCCAGTAAGCAAGAAACATTTTGAAACATTTCAGCAACGTTGTAACAACGTTGTAACGTTGCTACAACATTGCTAAAATGTTTCAAAATTTTTCTTGTTTACTGGAATATTAATGCTAATTTCTCTTCTTAGTAAATTATAGACGTCAAATAGTTTATTAATAGGTTATAAAAATCAAGTAAATTGAAAGAAATGTCTAGTATATTGTTTATCTCACTATTGCATTATTTGTTCTTCTTCGTAGATTAACAATATAAGATAATCAAATAAAAATTTTATAATAGTTTTCTACATTTATTTAGATGATCTCTAGCTCAAACAGGAAGTAAAAATGATCAAATCTATACATAATGATATGATACATCATTGTATGAGCAAAGTATATTTGAATCGAGATCTATATTTCGCAAAATATCTCACTTTTCCGAATAAATGTTTGAATAAGAGAAAATTTGCACTATGTAATTTTTTAGTTGTATACTTTTATCTTTATATTAATATTTCTACTAATTAATGTTTTTACTAAATGACGTTATATGTCTCTACGTCTATAAAAAAATACAATCAAACATTTTTGTATGAAGGGTATTACTCCATCATTTTTCGAATAAAATTAAGGTATGTCACAGCCGTTTTAACAACCTGGAATATAGTACACATTTTTATTAATCATTTTTTACAAGTAAACACATTACTTACATCGCCGAAAGTTCTGATGGACAGATCGAAGAACTTTCCGGCTTTTAGTTTTGCCGGAACAATCGACGTGGCTATAACTAATATCAGTGCTCGTGCTTTCGCATTCGGAAGACGGTACCAAGCCAACGTACATACTGTTAATGCTAATTTTTCTCCCTAATTTTAGTAAAATAAGTTACATGGTATAAAATAAAAATCAAAAAGAAAAATATCCGATATATTTTCTGCCTTACTACTTATTAAACGCGTTATATAATACGATACCTCTATGGAAAGTTGTTCACCGATAAAACAAAAGATATAAATATTGAACCCAATTGATGTGAGCAAAATGAGATAGGAGCACATAGATATAACATTTTGATCTTCCCATTCCTGCAAGATCGATAATTATATTTATTTATCTCGCACACACACGCACGCACACACGCACGCACACACACACACGCGGAATAACATGTTTCAAATGTAATAAAATAGTGTCTATGTTTAAAATTGTGCGAATTGTTATCACTGCATAATTATTTAGGCGCACCGTGATGACATCGTGTCCTAGAAGACATACAATTATCGTACATCCCATCACTTCTAATAAGCTCGTATATTGCAAAGTGCTTTGCACCAATCGTAAGAAACTACAAAGGGACGCGTACAAATTTTCATTAGAAAATCTTTTTACCCGCTAAATACTTAAAAAAAACTTACTAATAAAGCAAAAAAAAACACATCACATTAATGTGGTGTATTAACTTTATGTGGAATTCAATTATTTTGTTCTATTTAATGGATGTGTTTTATTTAACAGATAATCATCTCGATACAAATAAAAAGGATGTAAAATAAATACTGATATAAAAATGTGATTGATATGAGATAGATAAGACTTACTTTCGCATCTTTATCTGATGTTCCACGGTGAAAGCCAGCTTTTTATCCAAATTCTTTTCCTCTGTTTCGTTTATCAGGCTGTTTATTAACGTCATCAATATTTCAAGTTGACCACATGTATGCATAACGAAAAGAGCGGCGAGGCTGCAAATCACCACCGTAATGGTATACTTGATGAATCCGGAGAAGAATTGTATAAAGAACATGATTTCATACGCTGGACTAATTTGCCCGTTAAATAGAACAAAATAACTCGGGCACGGCAAATGCCTGATTGTGACGTTCTGATTGGTAATGGTTTTTCCCTTGCTTAACGGCACGACTGTACGAAAATATAAGCCGGATATGTACATGAATATGCCACACAGAATGAGCAAACGTCTTGCAGTCTTGGCTTTATGAATCATGGAATTACGAGCATTGGTACTTATGACATTTCGCCAATCGTCCTTCATTCGCGCTAGACAGTTTCTTACTTGATTTTTGCTAAGCACTAAACTGCTGTACTTGAGGACCGCCAGTATCGTGAACATTACAGACGAAATAAGTTTCAATCTGATGCGGGTTCGTTTTTCTACAAATACTATGTACAATATTGTCGGGATTAGTTCGCAACCGAGGAAAAAATAGCAGACTAATATCAAAGAGATCCTCTTTAAATGTTCAAGAAACGAAGATTCTGTCTCTGGCCAGATACCTAATAAACGGCAAATAACGCGATTTAGTTGTATAGTGTATTTTATGTCGTTCACATAATTTTCATTTGGATACATTTCTAATGTGATTATATCATCATGTTTTTTTATAAGAGCGACTTTGTAACGTTATGACTTTGTGTCGTACAAAACGTAGTATAACGCACGGAAACGACCAGAAGGGTCTTCTTTCATCACTGATCACAGCGAGCTACCTTCCAGTCAGAGAATAACTTGGTACGCGCTTGCGTTCTGAACAACTGCTCACAAATAGGTAATGACATGCGCTTGGAATTCTCGAGTAAGCACGAAATGAATACAGTTTAGAAGTCACAAAGGGTCGAGGAGAATTGCTTCCTATGAATTGTACTTTTTACCATCAACCTTCCGTAACTATAATAACCAAAAGTTATTATGTATGTATAACTCCGTTTCTTCCTCTTTCGTAAACTTGGTATTGTCTCAGTCGTATTTGCAGAAATATGATGACGCAGGATAATAATCAAATGGTAAAGTATATACACTGAAAAAAAATCTTAATTTTAAGGAAATATTTCTTTGCTCGTATTAAAAAAAATTATTTTTTTGGATCAATGAAAATTTCTTTGAAAATAAGATATTGTACAGTATCTTATTGTACAATATCTTATTTTCAAAGAAATTTTCATTAATCCAAAAAAATAATTTTTTTAATACAAACAAAGAAATATTTCTTTGAAATTAAGATATTTTTTCAGTATATGATACATATCTACATTAAACTAATTTATATTTGATACATTTCACTATTTCTCAAAATGCATATATACATATACATAGCATTAAAATTAGAATCGAAATATTTAATTAAAATACTGGATTATATATTTTGGTGCATATTAAAACATGCAGCTGTTTTTATAATTTAAAATGTTTACTTTTTAAGTATATTCATAATGTGTTTATAAGAATGTGAACGCGTATTTAACATGTATTTATGTTATATATATTACAGAATTACTTCAGAAATAAAAGCACGCATTTATTGATACAAGCGTGTTCCGAATACGAGCCTTAATGTTTTAATTCATGAATTACGATTGATAATCAAAGACAATTGACGGCAAAGCAAACTTACAACCAGATCTTGCATGTGTTTGTGTTAAGAATTTAAACAATACGTGGAAAGCAGGGACTATAACAATAGGATTTATGAGGAAAGTTGCTTGTTGAGAGGGACGAGCGTTTTCTAAGAAAAGTATCCTTACTTATTTATCGGACTTCATATAACTAGGAAAAAGATCATGTTTATCTTCACGTCTTTGTAACTTGTGATAGCAACATAATGCTCATTAGGAAGAAATAGTTCTAGTTTTCCTATATTGAATATTCTGATTTGTATGATTCAGTTAATATCAATTACTATCAATTAATATCAATTCTTTAATCTCATGGAAAAAGTAATAATTATGTAGTTTTATTCTTAGTACAAATAAAAGTACGTATTAATAAATGCCTTACATAATATTTGTGAATTTTTTAATGAAGTGTAACTAAATACATACATTTAAATAACATTTTGTATTATGTTGCACTATGATTTTGTGTTCAATTTTGCATTCATATATATACAATTGATTGATTCATACTGTATGATGGATATATCGAGCATAATTAACATTATAATTTTTAAATTTAATAATTCAATCAATTACATTTCGAATCATATTAAAATATGTCCCAGCTGTTTTCATGATCTAAAACATTTTCAGTTCCTTTCTCCTCTAATTTATTTTCAATTAATCATATTTATAACAAGAATATGTTAAATTAAATTGGCATATAAATTGACATACAAATTGACATAAAATTGACATAAAATTAACATATAAATGACATGATGCTTATTTTGTAAAAAATGATTTTACCTTATATATAATTATCTATTTATTGTTATTAATGAGTAGAAAACACAACATTTATATCGTTTAACGTTATATAATTAAGGTGAAAAGACAAATGGCTTATATGCTTTATGAAGTTCAAATATAAAATATTTAGACAGTCTTGTAGGAATAATAAAATTAATTCAAAAAGATATTTTACTTACATTACCAAATGTCTTGAGCGAGAGATCAACAAATATTCCAGCGGAGATCTTTGTCGGCGCGTTAGACATACGAATCAGTAATATGATGCTACGCGCTTTTTTGTCTGGAAGACGAAACCACTCAAGCTCGCAAGACGCAATGGCTACCTTTTCTGCCTATCGTTGGATTATTACGTAAAAAAATTTGTTTTTATCAAATTTTTATTAGCTATTTCAAGAATATTCTAATACGGTCCATATGTTTTCTTTCACGATATATTTATAAAAATATTTAAATCTGTAACTCATTTTACACGTAGTAACTGTCATAAGATTTATGTAAAATTGCATACAATTTTAATTGCAAATAATTTGATAGTAAATTATTTTAATTATAAAATATTATTATTGTTATTTTAATTATTACTACTCATGTTCTAAAAACTGAACACGTTAATTCACGTGAAACTCACCTGACTGGTAAGCTGTTCACCAGTGTAACAAAATAGAAACGTGTGAATTGTCACATTTGTAATGCTTATGCAATAAGTGCATACAGTTGCTATATTCCTACTTTCCCAGTCCTGCAAATATAAATGCTTTATGTAATTATATTATTGTTAAATTATTACTGATCAACTGTAAAATCTGAAATGACTATTTGTTAACAAAACATACATTTTTATAAGAATTTAAAATTTGAGTTCTCACACACACACACACACAGATAAAAAAATTCTAAACTGTGAATATAATTATTGAATTTTCGTTTTTTTCCCATTTTTCATTTTGCAATGCCACACAATATTTGATTTATCTCGTTATTAAAATTAATTGACAAACTTACGAACCACTAACATAAAATATACTAAAATACAGAGTGACGCCGTGTTCACTGTAATTTCCAGTATATATACTTCTTGCAAGGTACGTTGTACCAATCGTAAAAAACTGAAATACAATTATCGATAGTAACAATTAATTTGGTTAATAGAAAAAAATAAATATCAATAAAATGTGAAAGAATAGAAAGCTAATATTTACCGCGACATTGTTAATAAATATTATTGTAATAAGCACACGTTAATCAGTATAAGTGCTATATTATGAGCGTGAATAATATGTTAGTATATATAAGTTGTGGGCTTACTTTCGCACTCTCATTTGATGATTCACTATTTCAGCTAGCTTCGTATTCACTTTATGTTCCTCTTGCCATTGTTTCTGTACGAGTGCTGTCATCAAATTGATCAAGATTTTTAATTGGCCGCAAGCATGTTCCACAAAAATCGCCGTGAGACCGCATGCACTTGTTACAATCGAAACTGGAATGAATCCTATTACAAACTGGATTATAAAGATCGTCTCGTAAACAGGAGTGACTTGCACATCGAGGGAAAAGAAGTAACCCGGACAGGAGAAGTGTCTTATCGTGATGTTCTGATCGGTGACAATCTTTCCCTGGAACAACGGCAGGATTGTTCGGAAGGTAATGACAGCACTATACATGAAAATTCCACAGATCGTAATCAGGCGCTTCCCCATTCTCGCGGATTTTAGCATAGTGTTTCGTGCGTCTACATTGAAAACGTTCTCCCAATCCTCCTCAACGTGCTTCAAACACCGCTTGAGTTGATCATAGCGAGATATGAAGATGCCGTATTGACTAACGGACATAAAATCGTAGAGGAGAAAAGGGATCATTTGCAGTCGAATGCGCGATGTTGCCTCTATAAACCAGTAAAGAATACTGGGCACAAAGTCGCAAAAGAGAAGAGTGTAAGATATACAAATTAGCAAAAGATTGTAAGCCTTCTGGTATACAGATCTTTCTTTTCTGATGGAGGGCCAAGCGCCGAGCGCGAGCAACAAGCTGCGAATTGGTTGCATGACATACAAAATATCGTTTCGATAATGTTCATTTCGCGGCATTTTTTTTAGATTTCGACGAATATTCTACGGTTATACTTTCGAGCTTTATCCGTCCACGTAACGTGCACTTAATATGATGCCTGCGCGCTAACTGAACGCCACCGACCGTCGAAGGACGACACTGACCGCGAAGTCAACTCGTCGCTCGCGCATATATGCATGCGCATTTTAAAGATTTAAATGTCGCACGAGAAAAGAGAAAAAAGCTTGTAAATGGAGCCGTTTGCAAGGGTCGAGATAGCTTACCATAAAATGTATTTTATGCGTCAACTTTCCCTTACTGTAGCAACTAAGAAAGTTATCAGGTATTACTCTTCTTCCCGTTTCATAGACTCGGTATTATTTTAGTCACAATATCATATTTGACACAAAAATTATTTCTATACTACGCATTTCTACATTCAACATTCTATAGGATAATAAAATCGTAAAATATATATATGATACATATTTACATCACATTAATCTACGTTAACAATGATTGATAATAATTATTATCAACCATTGTCACAATTGTAGATCTATAATATAGAATAGACTTATAATATATATAGAGTACGGAAAACATTTAAAATACATATATTAAATATAACAACAAATTAAATAAAATAGGGTTACGAAATAGATATGGTATAATAAGGGGCAGAGATTGAAAAGGGATTTTAATGATTGATAATAATTATCATCAACAGAGATATTACACTAATAAAGTTTACGAGGAAAGTAAGTAAAATTCTCAGTACAAATAAATGTACATAATAAACACATTAGTGAATGTATAAAATTATATGAATTGTTCATTGAAATATAATCAAATATATATATTTAAATGATATTTTATATTACATTTAGATTGTAATATGGTTTTGTATTTTACTCATCAATAGATTCATACGATATGATGGATCAAACAATTAACATTATAATTTTAACTAATAGAATTTAATAATTTAATCGATTACACTTCGGAGCATATTAAAATATGTCCCAGCTGTTTTCATGACCTAAAACATTTACAATTATGTTTTCCTGTAATTTGTTTTCAATTAATCATATTTATTGTAATTGCAAATATTAAGCATATATTTAATAAGTTGACTTATACAAACAATACGATATTTATTTTATAAAAAAAGATTCCATCTCAACTATCTAACTACTATTTATGGATTTAAAATGTTAATATTTATATCATTTTACGCTTTCATAATTAATATGAAAAGACAAAAATAGTAATACATATTTTATTAAGAATATTTTATGTAAAATTTCAATATATTCAGACAATCATTTATGGAAATAATGGAATTAATTTAAAGTTAATTTTTACTTACATTACCAAATGTTTTGAGCGAGAGATCGATGAACTGTCCAGCAGAGATCTTTGTCGGCATGTTAGACATAATAATCAGCAATATAACGCTACGCGCTTTTTTATCCGGAAGACGATACCACTCCAGCACGCAAGATGTAATGGCTACCTTTTCCGCCTATCGTTGAATTTATCATCACGTAGCAATGGCCATAAAATGTGTTTGTATCATAATTTCATTTGCTATTTCAAAGATATTGCAATACGTTCCCTGTATTTCTTTTTCACGATATAATCATGAAGATATTTATAAAACTTATTTTAGCATGCAATAGTAACTTTTTCAGGATTTAAGTGAAATTAAATTTGCAGTTTTAATTGCAAATAATATAAAAATAAATTATTGCAATTATGGAACATATTATTGATATTTTCATTATTATTACTTGTGTTTTAAAAAGTGAACACATTAATATTCGTGAGACTCACTTGGCCGGTAAGCTGTTCACCAGTATAACAAAATAGAAACATGTGAATTATCACATTTATAATGCTTATCAAATAAGAGCATAGAGTTCCTATATTCCTAGTTTGCCAATCCTACAAATATAAGTGCTTTATGTGATAATCATATTATTATTGAATTATTACTAACTATAAAATCTGAAATAACTATTTGTCAACAAAATATACATAATTATGAGAATTTGAAATAAAGTAAAAAATTCTAAATTGTGAATAATCATTGAATTTTTATTATTTCAATTTTTTCATTTTAATATTCAAAAATACTTAATTTGTTCCATTATTAAAATTAATTGGCAAACTTACGAACCATTAACATAAAATACACTAACAAACAGATTGTTGTTGTATTTATTACAATTTCCAGCATATATATTTCCTGTAAGGTATGTTGTACTAATCGTAAAAAACTGAAATGTAATTATCAATGATGACTATTAACGCTTCTTAAACTAACAGAAAAATAAATAAATATCAATAAAATGTGAGAGAATAAAAAGATAAAAATTTTTACCAAGCACAATAGTGTCAATAAGTATTATTATTAACATATAATATAAACATATGTTTATTAGTATAAGGTAAGAGTCGGAGGAAGATGCCATAGTTAACTTTGGATCGAGATATTTTTTCAACCATTCTCGATATATAAAGGGAAATAAAATCAATAAAAAGTTTGATTAGTCTTATTTATTGCTATTTAATTACAGAAATGTAAATATCTTGTAAGAATTTTTCGCAATAAAAAAATAAAAACCTTCCTAAGTAGCATCTTACTCAACCTATTGGGTAAGATGTTACAAGATCTGTAATAAGATTCCCCAACGTTTTCACTAAATAAAACACAATATATGATGTACAAATGTTAAAAATTCTATTAATAATTATATTCAACAATAAAGAATAGTTTCTAATAATAGAGAATAATTTTTCTTGAAAGTAAACGATCTCTAAGTACTACTCTTTTTAATAGCAGTAATAAAAAGTTATTTCTTAAAGTAAACGGTCTCTAGATAGTAGTAAATAAAAGATAAAAATATGCAACACTTTAACTACAATAATAGAAAATAATTATTTCTTACAAACTGTAAACAGTCTTTATTCCCTTGGATCTTTTTTGAGTCATCTGTTGCATTTTTTACTACAATCAGTCTTTACTCACTCATATCTAGATCTTTCTTTAACATAATAATAAAGTTTACCAATTACATAATAATCGTCATTTTCTGTGTCAGTCGAAATGTAATAAATATTTACTTCTTGAAAACTGTTTAAAGATAAAGTTATTCTTCGTTTCTTTTTGTTTTTAAAGCAACTTGCCCCTTGTAGCATCTTACCCAATACGACTAGAAAATATATTATCAGACTATATCAACCACGTGCTATTGATATATAATCACTTAATATATAATAAAATTTACTCTTGATGCTATAAATAACGTAATCCACTGCGTATTTGTGAAATAAAGTCTACAAAAGATTAATATAAATTGTAAATATTGTAAAATATGATCAGAACAAAACTTTATCAACTTACCTTGATAAATTTTTTAAAATAAATATGAACAGCTAGTTCTAGTCGCTCGTTCCTGGCTTACAAATGAATAAACTGAGAATACCACTAATACCATCTATGCATAAACATGGAAATTATTATTAAATAGCATCTTGCCTGACATGGCATGTTCCCCTGACTTACCGTAAACGTTAAACTATGACGTTAGCAAAGTTGCTGCCTTACTTGCGCACTCTTATTTGATGCTCCACTATTTCAGCTAGCTTCTTATTCGTTTCACATTCTTCTTGCCATTCTTTCTGTACGAGTCCTGTCATCAAACCGATTAAGATTTTTAATTGACCGCAAGCATGTACTACGAAAATCGCTGTGAGGCCACATGCACATGTTACGATCGAAACTGTAATAAATCCTGTTAGAAATTGGATTATAAAGACCGTCTCGTAAATGGGGCTGACTTGTACGTCGAGGGAAAAGTAGTAACCCGGACAAGCAAAGCGTCTTATCGTGACGTTCTGATCAATGACGATCTTTCCCTGGAACAACGGTAAGATTCCTCGGAAGGTAATGACGCCACTGTACATGAAAAATGCGCAGATCGTAACCAGACGTTTCCCCGTCCTCGCAGATTTCAGCATAATGTTTCGTGCGTCCACGCTGAGAGTATTCTCCCAATCCTCCTCGACGTACTTCAAGCATCGCTTGAGTTGATCATAGCGAGATATGAAGATGCCGTATTGACTGGCGGACATGAAGTCGTAAAGGAGAAGAGGAATCATCTGCAGTCGGACGCGCGTTGATGCCTTCATCAACCAGTAAAGGATACCGGGTATAAGGTCGCAAAAGAGGAGAGTGTAGGACATAAAGATTAGCAAGAGATTGTGAACCTTCGAGTGTACGGATTCTCCTTTATTGATGGAGGGCCAAGCACCAAGTGCGAGCAGAATGTTACGAGTTGGTTGCGTAATATACAAAATATCGTTCTGATGATGCTTATTTTGCGACATTTCTCTATGAACTTTAATGAATCTTCGGTACTTTCGAGCTTTATCGTCCACGTAACGTGCACTTAATACGAAACCTAAGTACGAACTGGATTGCTACCAGTTGTTGAAGGACAAGGCTGACCGCGAAGTCAACTCGTCGCTTGCGCACATGCTTGCGCATTTTAAAGATTTAATGTCGCATGAGAAGAAAGAAAAGCAGAAAGGCTTGTAAATGGAATCATTCGCATCAAGGGTCGAGATTGCCTTCCACGAAATGTATATTTATCCATCAACCTTCTCTTACTAGTAACCAGGAAAGTTATTACGTGTAACTTCGTTTTTTTCCTGTTTCGTAAGCTCGGTACTGTCTCTGTCACACACATAATATCGTATTTGCCATGAAAATTATATTCACGTTACGTATATTTTATAATAGAATAATAAGATGTTTATATATATAAGTACGAGATATATTTACATCACATTGATCTACTTTTGATACATATATATCACTGTTTCTAGAAATATTAATGCATACATTGAAAAAAAAAATTTACTAAATTTTAATAAATATTTGTTCCAATAGTAATAACGAAATATTTACTTACAGTAAATAAATATTTAAAATAAAAAATACTCAAAATAAAAAATTATGCTTAAATCAAATAAATATACGTTTACATTTAGTAAAAAATTCGTTAGTATTATTGAAACAAATATTTAATAAACTTTAGTATTTTATATGTATATGTGTTATATATATGTAACGTTAAAATTTTGATAACCGAAACTTAAATATATAATTAAAATATTGAATTGTGCTTTGATACATACATTCCTTTTCAATAATCTAAAATATTTTCTTTATTACTTATGTTTTAATTCGCGTCATGAGTCACGACTGATGGTGGAAAATAACAATTGATCGCGAAGTAAACTCACAATCAGAATATGAGTTTGCACGCAATAAGAATTTAATCATTACATGGAAAACAGAGACTAAGTACAGTGATAGAGTTTGCAAGGAAAGTTGCTTGTCGAGAGGGACGATTGTATTCTAAAGAAAGTATTCGTATTCGTTTGTCAAACTTAATACCAACTATGAAAACGATCATGTTTATCTTCATGTCTTCGCAACATGCAATTGCGACATAATGCCTATCAGGAAAAAATAGTTTCGTTTGACGTGTGTTAAATGTTCTAGTTTTTATATGTATGAGTTAAAATATTAATTATTATTTTTTAATTTTGTCAAAAAAGTAACATTTATGTTTTTATTACTAATAAATTAATTATATTCTTATTACTAATAAAATAATATGTGTTAATGAAAATATTTAATGAGATATGAATTATTCAATAAAACAAAATTAAATATTGAAAAATCCTCTATCATTTTGCAGTTTTCACATTACGGTCACTACTGAACACTCTGTATATAATTAAATGATATTTTATATTACATTTACATTTTAATATATATATGTTTTGTATTTGAATCATATATGCAATTGATTCACATAATATAATGGTATAAAACAACTAACGTTACAATTTCAACTATTAAAATTTAATGATTTAATCAATTACATTTCGGAGCATATTAAAAAACGCCCCCGCTGTTTTCATGACCTAAAACATTTTTAACTATTTTCTCGTCTGATTTGTTTTCAATTAACCATATTTACCGTCATTGCAAGTAACAAGCATACATTTAGTAAAATTGACATATGTAAATGACATGATACTTATTTTATAAAAAAGGATTCTAAATTGTCTTATTGCAATTTGTAGATATAAAATATTAAAATTGATGTCGTTTAACGCTACTATAATTAAAACACAAACAGACTTACTTTAAGAAAAGCTACAACGTACTTGAATAATCTTTCGTAGAAACAAGTAATTTACTTACATCACCAAATGTTTTGAGCGAGAGATCGATGAACTTTCCAGAGATCTTGGTCGGCGCGTTAGACATAATAATCAGCAATACAACGCTACGCGCTTTTTTGTCCGGAAGACGATACCATTCAAGCTCGCAGGATGCAATGGCTACTTTTTCCGCCTATCATTGGATTTATTATCACGTAGTAATGGCCATAAAATGTGTTTGTATCATAATTTCATTTGCTATTTCAAGGATATTGCAACACGTTCCTTGTTTCTTTTTTTTATGATATATTTATAAAAATATTTATAAAACTTATTTTAGCACTCAGTACTAACTCTTTTAAGATTTGATTAAAATTGAATGTGTAATTACACATAATTTGATAATAAGTTATTTTAGTCATGGAACATTGTTATTGCTAATTTTATTATTATTGTTTGTATTTAAAAAATCGGATCACATTAATATCTATAAATCTTACCTGACCGGTAAGTTGTTCACCAGTGTAGCAAAATAGAAACATGTGAGTTGTCACATTTACAATACATAACCAATAAGTACATAAAGTTGGTATATTCCTATTTTGCCAGTCCTATAAATTCATAAGTGTTTCGTATGATATTATTATTAAGTAATTTATTATTATGACTAACTCCTGTAAAATCTGAAAGAACTATTTGTTACCGAAATATATTATTACAAAAATTCGAATGCAAATAAAAATTTTTAGTCATGAGAAAAATTAATGAATTTTTGTTCCTTTTCTATTTTATTTTACGTTAAAATATTTTATTTTATGTAAAAATATTTAATTTATTTCGTTATTAGCATTAATTAACCAACTTACGAACCACTAACATAAAATACACTAAAAGGCAAATAGTTATTGTGTTCACTAGGTATTCCACCACATATATTTCCTGCAAGGTATGCTGTACTAACCGTACAAAACTGAAATACAATTACCGAGGGTAAAAATTAACACTTAGATTTATAGATAATAAAGAGAAAACAGAAGGTTAGTAATTTTGTTAATAAACACATTGTTAATAAATATCAATATTAATAAACACACGTTAATTGGAGCGAATACTAAAATTAAGAGCATGAATAACATTCGCAAATTGCGGACTTACTTGCGCACTCTTGTTTGGTGCTCAACTATCTCAGCTAGCTTCATATCCATTTCACGTTCCTCTTGCCATTGTTTCTGCACGAGTTCTCTCATCAAGCCGATTAAGATTTTCAATTGGCCACAAGCATGTACTACAAAAATTGCGGTGAGACCGCATGCACATGTCACGATCGAAACTGCAATGAATCCTGTTAGACACTGGATTACAAAGACCGTCTCGTAAACAGGGCTGACTTGTACGTCGAGGGAAAAGAAGTAACCCGGACAGGCTAAGTGTCTTATCGTGATGTTCTGATCGATGACGATCTTTCCCTGGAACAACGGCAAAATTGTTCGGAAGGTAAAAGCGCCGCTGTACATGAAGATTGCACAGATCGTGACCAAGCGTTTGCCCGTTCTCGCAGATTTCAGCATAATATTCCGTGCGTCTACGCTGAGAACATTTTTCCAATCCTCCTCGATATGTTGCAAACATCGCCTGAGTTTATCATAGCGAAATATGAAAATGCCGTATTGACTGACAGACATGAAGTCGTAGAGGAGAAGAGGGATCGTCTGCAGTCGAACACGCGCCGTTTCTGCCATCAACCAGTAAAGGACACCAGGTATAATGTCGCTAGAGAGGAAAATGTAGGATATACAGATTAGTAAAAGATTGTGTGCTTTTGGATATATGGATCTTCTTTTACTGACGAACGGCCAAGCGCCGAGCGCGAGCAAAATGTTGCGAGTTGGTTGCGTAATGTACAAAATATCGTTCTGGTGATGCTTATTTTGCGGCATTTCTGTGTGAATTTTGACGAATATTTTGCGATACTCTCGGGGGCTTTATCCGTTTACTTAATGCGAAACCTGAATGCGAACTGAATGCGGACTGAATTGTCACCAGTCGTCGAAGAGCGAAGCCAACTCGCGCATATGGTTGCGCATTTAAAAAATTCAAATCCGCATAAGAAGAGAGAACAGAAGCAGAAAAGTTTATGGATAGTGATTCGCTGGGGACAGGATTATTTTCCATGAAATGTATTCTTATCCGCTTACGTGCATTGACTTTTACAGGAAAATCATTACATTTAACTTTCTTTCTTCGTGAATTCTAACTTACAATCATAATGTTGTCTGTGAAGCTAACAGTTTTGATTTCTACGAGAACTTTTCTATTTGTTTAACTGTTGTAGAGATGTATATAATTAATCGATACAGCAAGATTACTTTTACATGAGACCAGTTACATAGTTAAGTAACTCAAATCATACATTTCAAGTCATATCAAATTTTTTAAATACATTTTTGAAAGCATCTTATTTTATTTCAGAAGACACGTTTATAAATAAATATATTATAATATCGTGAAAAACTTATTATTTTTCACACCACATCATCGTGTAACTCACGTTATTATCTATGTAGTTGTACTTACTGCACTTTCTATTGTGAATAATTGACAAGTCCATTTTTGTTTCAATAATCACTATCGTTGTTTAATCGACAACAGTCCAAAATATATTAAAATATAAAACCGCTGATTTGATTACCTGAAACAATTAATAAATATCTTTATATAAAATTCTTTCTACTAACATCGAAGAATAATATATCATTAATACATTATTGATATATATACGATATCATGGATATATTATTGATATATATAAGATATCATAGAAATGTCGCAACTTTTGTATAAAAATACATATATTTTACTTACACCAGTAAATGTCTTTAAAGAAAGAACAATAAATTTTCCTAAGATTCCTAATTTTTTACGGAATATATGATATATAATTATTATCAGCATCACATTACGTGTACTCTTTGGAAGATGATATCATTCTAGTATATTTACTCTCCAAGCTTGATTTGCCTATCGTAATAAATATGTATGGAATTGCTTTTATTTATACAAGTAAAAGGTTTCAGTCCTTAGGTAAGTATTTTTATTTTTACATGTTAAAAAAATGCTATGAGAATGAACATCAATATAATTGAAGTCTAATACGACAGAATTAAATGAATATACCCAATAAACTTACTGCAACTATAATGTGTTCGCCGGTATAGCATACAAAAAAAATATTAACAGTATCAGAAGCAAGAACAAAGAAATCCTAGAACATTAGAGATTGGGACATATTAATTAATTATATTAAAAAATAAAACAGTCTATGCATTAAAATAAATAATTATAAAGTATGAAATAATTTCTTTCCGATAATTATCAAAACGATTCCTTCGTGTTTTGACATATAATATCACAGATATTTAATAAATGTTTCTTGTTTACATTTTTTAATGAATTTCGTAATATGATTTTATATAAATATTTTATGTTATTTGATATGCACATTCATCAGAAATTCAATAAAGAATAATTTTAAATAAAAAATTATACAATAAATTCTGATATAATTATGAATATTTCTAAACGTTTTCAATTTGTTTTATTTGTAACAAAGATATTTTAAAAAGAAAAGCACTCTATTTAAGTATTTTATTTCCATATTATAGTTACAAATATTTATTGCTACTCTTTTACTGCTATCTATACATTTACGATTAATTCTTAAAATTCAATCAACTCGAAGAAGATTTAAATACGTGACGGACATTTTAACAACCTAAAATAAATACATATCTATATTAATAGTTATCCCTTTCTACAGGAATTATTTTTATGATATTAATTTTATTTAATAAATTTGGGTGAAAAATTAGTTGTGTCACTTACATTGCCAAATGTTCTAAGGGTTAGATCAATGAAATTTCCTGCTTTGAGTCTTAATGGTTTTTCGGAAATAGATATAAGTAAAATCAATGCTCGTGCTTTTACATCCGGAAGACGGTGCCATTCCAAAGTGCATGCTGTTAATGCTATTTTTTCTCCCTAATTTTGATTAATTAAGTATAAGCGTCAGTGGTGTGAACGAAAAAAGAACATCATTCCATTAATGTCCCTCTTTGTGTTATTTATTATATATTTCACGATTATTGTCACCGACAACGAAAAATGTTGCGATAATACATACTTGCTCAATGATTTGCTCGCCCATATAGCAGTAAATAAATATGTTGAAACAGAACATTGATAATCCACTGAAATATAAGCTCAGACGAAAAACATTATGATCTTCCCATTCCTGTAAATTGAACTCTTATTCATTTCTTATTGAACACACGAAATTATAACGGAATGTATCTTGTCACGTTTATGTGAAGGTATCTTTTCCTTAAAACTTATTATTAAGTAAATAATTTTGCGTACCATGATAATATAAAATCCTACATAGCATAACATCACGGTAGATCCCAGAATTTCTATTAAATTTGGATACTGAGTGATACTCTGCAGCAATCGTAAGAAACTAAAACGTATTGTGAGAAAATTATGAAAACTGGTTTAAATAAAATTTATTAATTACTAATCCTATATATCTTTAATAATTGATGACACGTTACCCATTTGCGTAGAATGTATTATCGCGCATTAAGCTCTGACATAGTTTCTAGTGTGTGAATATGTTAGAATTATGTTAAAAAATCAGCGATTGATCTGATTATTACATGTAAGGAAAGACTCACTTCCTTATTCTAATTTGATGCTCCACAACATTGGCCAATTTCTTGTCCAAATATTCCGGTTGACTCTCGTTCACGAAATCATTCATTAACGTCACAAGTATGTCCGATTGCGCGCAAAAATGCATCCCGCAAAGTGTCACGAAACTAAAGGTTGCCACCAAAATCGTATACTTTACAAATCCCGCTACAAATTGTATGAAATATACGATTTCATAAACTGGACTACGTTGCACGTCAAATATAACGAGATGAGCCGCACATGGCAGTGGTCTGATAGTGACATTTTGAGGAGTAACAATTTTCCCTACTGACAAAGGAATGATCATTCGGGCACACACACCGGTCAGGTACACGAATACAGTGCAAATCACAATTAGACGTTTGCTAGTTCTGACCCTGTCAATCATAGAGATGCGTTCATTTGGATTGATGACGTTTCGCCAGTCCTCATCAACCAATACTAGACAATTTCGCACTTGATTCTTGTAAAGCACGGCATAACCGTACTTAATGATTTCTATTATCGTGAATATTGCATTAGCCATGATTTTAAACCTCAAACGAACGTCTGTCAGCACCATAAATACATAGAGTATAATCGGGATTAATTCGCCGAAGAGAAACGCGAAACACACGAAGACCAGCACGACCGTCTCCAACAGCTCCGGAAGAAGGGAATTCGTGCGTGGAAATGGCCATATGCCTAATAAACGAAAGAAAAAGCGATTCATCACGAAAGTATTCTGTATGTCGTGTTTGTAATATTTGTTGACGAACATCTTGAGAGACTAATTCTACAATTTCTTATATCGAGTTTTTCCACTTCATAGTATGATATCGTATAGTATGAAAACACTTTTGTAATCAACGATACAGAGACGAAACGTGTCTGTTCGTCACTGATCGCAGCGACAAACCAGTATTTTTCGCAGAGTACAAACATAACTCATAATTCATGTGCGCTTGCGTGTCAAGGAAACTGAAAAGCCACGTCAAGTGAATGGTTAACATATGTATAGAAACTTTCAAAAGAGTTGCGTGCAGATCCCTTTACGCTTTTCCTTCATTCTAAGGAATATAAAGTTTTTTCCGGAAAGCTATGAAAGGGTTAACGTTTCTAAGAAAATTTATTGATATAATAGTTGTGTAAGCAAAATGTAGTAGTTGACTTAATCGAGTATACATGGAAAAGTAACTGTACTTGTGCGACTATATTCTAGGTAGCATTTTTGTTTTTATATTATTATATTCTTTCTTTTATTAAAATGTGTACTGTACTCTGACAATGAAATAGTAATCGTTACAGTGCTTTATATAAAACATTATTTGCTTGTGTATTACATTAATGTGGGAAATTTTAATGCTACGTAAGATGGATTTTCAAGTGCGGTAATGGTTTTAAAAAATAAATTAATAAAAGTAAAATTTCTTACTCACGCTTCTACATATGTACATTATACTAAGTTCTTATATTTGACACATCTATTTTAGGAAAGTATCACATCTATATTAATACATACATATCTATATTAGGAAAGGAACATATACATCACTTGATATTACCACTTGATATTATGATGCGTTGGTAAACGTTGTTCCAACGAGAAGAAAAAGATTCAGAGCAAAAATCGTCTAGGTAGCAAAAAGTCATAGAGTATCGTTAGTAAATTTCAATTGTAAGTAATAAAATAACATTACTTTCTCTCACTCACACTTACATATTAATGACAATAATTTAAATTTTTTTAAATAATATTATACGGAAAGAGCAAGTATTTTGTGCTGAATCTACAAATTTAGCTAAATATGGATCTAAAAATAATTTTGTTGGATCATCAAAATAATTTTTGTAGGAATTTCAAACATGATAAACAATGCTGAAAAAAGTTTTAATATTTTAACAATCATATTTTAAACATCCCAAATCAATAGAATATAATATAGCTCAATAATTTCAAAAATACAAAATATTATATCAGGGCTACGAGCCATTTGGCTTGTTTTTTATATAATTTTGTATTTTTTAAACATCCCACATAATTTTAATGATTCAACAAAATTATTTTTAGATCTGTTCCTAATTAAATTTTTAAATCTTCAGCAAAATTATTCTTTCCGTGTAATATATTATTTGTTTACGGAGCAATTTGGACTTTGAAATTTAACATACATATTTATTATTAATACAAGCAATATAACAGAGACATTATTGAATATATGCATATCTCATTTTGTGATATCGACCTAGGACATTCAAAAACTGTGGAATATTAATTAGATCAAAAAATTAATTTATGTATTAGAATAAATAACAATAAATTACATGGAAAATACAAATAATTTCCCTCTAGTTACCTTTTAATATAACGTAAGATATTTAATAAGTATTTCTTATACATTTTTAATAAATCCCGGAATATATTTTTATTTTTAGACGTTTTTATATTATATTATAAGTAGATTCATAAAAAATTGAATGAAGAATAATTATAGTATTATAATAAGTAAAGAACGAACTAATTATATGAATACTTGTAAATGTTTTTAAAACGTTTCATTTGGAACAAATATATTTGAAAAAGAAAAGCACTTTGCTTCAGTATACTATAATTTCCATTTTTTATGGTTACAAATTTTTATTGCTACTGTTTTACTAATAGTTATAAAAGTCTGATATTCATATATTTCAGATTAATTCTTACAATTCAATCAACTGACCGAAGAAGATTTAAATATGTCACAGACATTTTAGCCACCTAAAATAAATGTATGTCTTTATTAATCGCTCTTCCTCCCGGTAGAAAAAATTTTTATGATATTAACTTTATTATTATATTAATTCAGGAAAATAGCCGTAGCACTTACATTGCCAAACGTTCTGAGGGAAATATCAATTAAATTTCCTGCTTTAAGATTTAATGGGTTTTCGGAAATAATTATTAGTAAAATCAATGCTCGTGCTTTTGTATCTGGAAGACGATACCATTCCAAAGTGCGTGTTGTTAATGCTACCTTTTCTCCCTAGTTTTTATTAATTAATTACAAACGTCAGTGATGCGAACAACAAAATGACATTTCACTACTGTTCCACTTTGATATATTTATTTACTATATTCATTTGCTATATTTGCCACATCTTACTGCCATTGGCAATGATTTAAGAATACATACCTGCTCGATGATTTGCTCGCCCATGTAGCAGTAGATAAATATGTTGAAACAGAACATTATTAGTACACTGATATATGCGCACAGACGAATAACATTGTGATCTTCCCATTCCTGCGAATTAAACTTTCATTAATTTTTTATACAGCACGAAAATATAACGTAATGCACCTTATCATGTCTATCTAGTATTTTCTTTAAAATTCATTGTTACGTAAATATTTCTTTGCGCACCATGATAATGTAATATCCTGCGAAACATAATAGGACCGTAGATCCCAAGATTTCTATTAAACTTGGATACTGAGTGGTACTCTGCACCAATTGTAAGAAACTAAAATATGTTACGAGAAAAATATAAAAATTGTTTTTAACAAAAACCACTAATCCCATATATCTTTGATAATCGATGACACATTACCCATTTTGCATAGAATGCACTATCGCGTATTACGCTCTGACATAGTTTCTCTCTAGTGTGAATATGTTAGACTTACTTTAAAGAATCGAATGAACCTCATTATTGTACGCAAAGAAACACTCACTTCCTTATTCTGATTTGATGCTCTACTACAGTTGCCAATCTTGTGTTCAAATTTTCCCGTTGATTCTCATTCACGAAATTATTCATTAACGTCACAAGTATATCTGACTGCGCGCAAAAATGCATCGCGCAAAGTGTCATGAAACCAAAAGTTGTCACCGTAATCGTGTACTTTATAAGTCCTGCTAGAAATTGTATGAAATAAACGATTTCATAAACTGGACTACGTTGCACGTCAAATATAACGAGATACGCAACGTGAGGCAGTGGTCTGATAGTGATATTTTGAGAAGTAACGATCTTCCCCACTGACAACGGAATGATCATTCGGACAGCCATTCCGGTCACATACACGATTATGGCGCATATTACAATCAAACGTTTGCTAGTTCTAACTCTGTCAATCATCGAAATGCGATCACTCGGATTGGTAACGTTTCGCCAATCTTCATCAACCAATATTAGACAGTTTTTCACTTGACTCTTGTAAAGTACAGCATAGCTGTACTTGATAATTTCTATTATTGTAAATATCCCGCTGGCCATAACTTTCAGTCTCAAACGAAAGTCTGTCAACACCATAAATACATAAAGTATAGTCGGGATTAATTCACCGAAGAGGAACGCAAAACAGGCGAAGACCAATGTGATCGGTTCCGCCAGCTCAAAAAGAAGGGAATTAGTGCGCGAAAATGGCCATATGCCTAATAAACGAAAGAAAAAGCGATTTATTCCAAAAGCATTTTCTATATCGCGTTCGTAATACTTATTGGCAAACATGTTGGGAGACTGATTAATTTTACAATTTCTTATAAGGAATCTTTCCACTTAATAATATGATAGCTTGTAGCATGGGAACTTTTATAAGACACGATACAGAGACGAAACGTCTGTTCCCCACTGATCGCAGTGATGAACAGTATCCCTTGCTAAGCACAACATCACTCATATTTCATGTGCGCCTGCGTATGAAGGGAACTGAAAAGCCACGTCAAGCAGATGGTTAACGAACATATAGAAACTTTCAAAGGGGTTGCGTGCAAGTTTATTTACAATTTTCCTTCTGTGTAAGGAACAGAAAGTTTTCTACAATAAGTTATAAAGGGGTGAATTTTTCGTAATAAAAACTTACTGATAATAGTAGGGTGTAATAAAAACAGAGGAGTTGTCTTGGCAGAATATAATAAAAGTAACTAGATTTATCCCCCTAATATATTCCAAATAGTATTTTTTGTTTTTTTATATTATTATAATTATTTCTTTAAATAAAATTTGTACGGTATTGAAATAGTAAATGTTACAATCCTCCATATAAAATATTATTTGTTCGCGTCAATCTGATGTCTCGGAAATTTTAATGTTGCATAAAATGAATTCTCGAGTATGGTAATGGTTTCGAAAAATAAATAATGTTACTAAACAGCTCATTTTTAGTATACATATTCTGTAATACCAGTTGATATCTTAAAAGAAGACAAATTATGCAATCGAACATTTATTTAATTTAAAATATCTAAAGCTGATTCTACATTAATTTCAAGTAGATCTGAAATTTGTTGTGAGAAATCAATTTGAAACGTTAATAGTACCATTGATGTTTCTGGTTTGTAGTCACAGACAAGATTGCAATTAACTTACCAGTAATATAGAATTAGCTTATCCGGTCAAATTTTTGTATTTTTCGTATGTTCATGTTAAACACAATGCGATGTTATCAATACGAAGTGCAATTTAAAATGTATATATTTGAGAAACGAACAATGACTTACAATTGATATGTGGAGCTATAATAATAGTTACATTATACGATACTTTGATCTGTTCGGAAATTACATTCATGTTTAAAAGTTATTGAGAACATAAAGCTACATTTTATATACATATGATTGATTATATAAATATGAAATTATATTTTTATTATCTCTTAATCTTTTTTCAGCGCTGTAATATATATTACAGTAAAATAAAGATCAGAATCATAATAAAATTTATATAAAGATAAAATAATAATTAGAATATGATTAATTATCTAAATACTTTATATAAAATTAAAATTAACTTTCATTGTACTTAAAAAAAAAATTTTTACGCATTTTTTTCTGTATACGTACATTATAAGTCTTCGTATTTGATATATTAATACCATATAAGCATATCTATATATGGTTTGATATTATCCAGGATTGGTTAATACTAAGTTAAAAAGATAAAAGTTAAGTTAAAGACTTAAAAAGTTAATTAATTTTAACTTAACTTAGTTACATTTTAGACTCTTAATTTTTTAACTTAATTTAGTTATATTTTATCGGTAACTATTAACTTTTAAGTTGATTTTTTTAAGTCAATCCTCAGATACAATGCGAGAGGCTAATGAGTATATAATTTAGTAATTTTATATTGTATAATCGTTACTTGTGAACAAAAATAACCAGATTCTTTAATAAATATGCTGAGAAAGAAAAAATACGAATAATTATGTAAAGTGGTCAAACTTTTCTTTTTTTTTTTTTTGGTTGTTCATTCATAACAAATTTAACTTTTAACTTTTCAATTACTTTTTTATTAACTTAACTTTTCATTCAATTAATTTCATTATGGATTAACTTGTATTTTAATTATGTTAAATTTTCAAGGCCGTTAACTTTAATTTAACTTAGTTAAAAACAAAAGTTAACTTACCCAACCCTGATATTATCATTATGATATGTTCGTATACTACTTTTCAACGAGAAGGTAGATTCTTCAAAAATCTATATATCAAAATTCTGCATTGTGTCATTTGTAAGTAATATTATATAAGTAATAGAATAACGTCTCTTTCTCCCACTCACGTTTATCAATAATAATACAAATTAATTACATATTAATATTAATATGTCAATATATTAAAATGCATACAAATTAATAATACGTACATTAATTTGTCGATGGAGCACCTAGATTTTGTTCTTTAATACACATACTTGTTATTGTCCATGCGCTAAGACATTATTGAAAAGTATACATATCTTATATATACTGATTTTGACTTGGGATATACAAAGATATTGGATTTTTAATTAGAAGAATTAAGCAATTTTTTATACTATTAGTTAAAATAAATATAATCATAAAGCAGGGAATGGAAGTAACTCGTTACTTGTAACGAAGTTACAGTTACAAGTTACTTTTTTGGTAACTTTACTAGTAACTGCGTTACTCTTTTCTT